ACCAATAATAGTAACAAATCAAGTGTATATCACCGTAAAATTTGTATAAGAATATCGATGATATACATAAATATATCTTATCATTATTTTATAAAAATATAGAAATTATTTTTAATAGATTTTTAACTTTAAAAAAACAGATATGGAAAAAAAATTACTGTGAAAAAAAGTCATAACAAATATTGATATTTTAAAAAAAAATTATATAGCATTCTAAAAGAAAGGAGTGAGTAATGACAACAATTAAAGAATATAATTTAAAATTTTAATTAACAAAAGTAATCAAAGTACAAGTCAATTTATTGAGATGAATTATAAGATTGGACTAAATTTAAAAATAACGTCATTTCTCGAGATACTAAGTTTTTTTAGCGAGTTCAATTTTTTTTCACTTACTTTCAATATTTCATTTAAATTTGCATGTTCTTTATGAAATAATAATTGATATGAATATTTTTATCACAGTGTGTATATTAATTGATCTTAGAAAATAATTTAAGGAATAACTAATTGAGTTTAGGATAAAAATAAAAAAATAAGTATAAAAATAATTATATTTTCTTGATATGTTAAAAAAAGTATATATATATTCTAAAATTAATGACAAATGAAAATAAATAGATAAAAGTATATCTTTTCTTTTATTACGTTCCTATTAATAAACGTATAACTTTTCTATTTATTTTGGAGTAGTTATTAATTATTTATTGGGATAATAACTTGATTTATGAGATATGATATGAGAATTTAAATACAACGGAACAAATATATTCTTTTTGAAAGATAAGAATTCCTCTTCTTATAATATATTTGTTTACCTATAAACATGACTAAGACACGTTGCACGCTGTAGCTAAAAGTAATTTTTTTTTAAAAGAAAAAAATAAAATATTTTTAAATATTATTTATCATTTTAAATTAAATTTAAATCACATACTTTAACTTTTACGATTTCATCATATTAAGAAGATTAATAATATTTTTACTTATCATTCAACGTAACTCAAATCATCAATCTATCGATGAATACAAACACTGGCATATAATGTTAATATCTACTATAAAAAAAATTAATTGAAATATTATGTATGATCTCTTAGAATAGTAAAAAGGAGCACTATCTATAAATAATATATGAAAATGGATGAACTAATATATTATACTTCGGATTGTTGATATCACTTTCAAAAAGTTTGGTCAAAACACTAAGTTGTAACTAATTAATAATACTAATAATTAATAGATGTGATTATGATTAAGCCAAAGTGTGTATAAATAATGTGAATAAAGTTTTTGGCTAAACTATGTAAAGTCATTTTAGTATATTAATAAAAGGCTTAAGTCATCTACAGCCACTTAAAGTTGTCCACATATTTCATTTAGGCATCTTATCTTAGACTTGTTTCAATTGAACACCTTTTTTAGTTTTAAAAAATACCTATCAAACATATTTTGACAATCAACTAAAAATAAAAATGGTGTGTCATACACTCGCAGCTGACATGGCATGGTAGCTAATAAAAACGAGACATCTGGCATTGGGCCATAGATTAAAAAAGAGCAACCTTCCCTTTTCTTCTTCTTCTTCCCAGAACCACTCCCACCCAACCCCAACTTTAAATTCCACATTTTTTTACCAAAAGACACAAAATTGAATCACGTTTCGAATAACCATTTTCACTTTGACGTTTTCCTTTTAATTTGAAATTATATGTTTTTTTTCGATCAACCCACCTACCCCTCTCCTTGAATCTAATTCAATATTGGAAATGGTATTTTTTCCAATCACACTTTTTCTTAATCATTAATTAAGATTTGTTAAAATTGAAAAATAATAATAACAAGATTTTGTCCAAAAAAATCTATTCATATCTTTTTTCATCATAATTAATAGGACTTCGTCAAGATATTTGAAACTTAAATCAACATAAGAAAGACAAAGGAAAAGCAGAAGAAGAACGATAGAGGGTGAGAGAAAGAGAGAGGGGAAGAAGATGTATGTTTCTTCTTTTTTTTGTTAATTTTTTTAAAAAATTAAATTAGGTGTAAAAGTTAATAAAAAAAGAAAATATATTATTTTTCATAACTTAACGTCCTCAAAGAAAGTGCACTACACATTTTTTGCCATGTCAGCGTTTTGTGTTTAATGGAAATGATTTTTGAACAAATAAGGTGTTCAATCGGCATATAAATGAGTTAAGATGTCTAAATGAATTTTGCGGATAACTTTAACTGATTGCACATGACTTAAGCCTTAGTAAAATAAATCAATTATGGCGTGAATGGTGGAGGTCCCACAACAAAGATTGATTTATTTTTTTTCTCGTCAATGCCACCAAACCAAAAAGTCAAAATTAGCAACCAAATTTTTATTGTGCTTTCTTTAGCCCTACATGCCATTTGAGTAATGCATTGATATGAAAAATAGTGTTTAAATAAGCGGGTTGAATATTTTATAATATTTTAATAAAGTATTAGTTAGGTTTATTTAAAATTAAATTAAAATTAATAATTTCATTTTTAAAAAAATTATTAAATTTATGGGTAATAGGTTATTAGTTTAACAGTTCCAATAATGCTTTTGTTTTTTTTTACGTTGGGTTATTGATTTGAAGTTTTTTGCTAAACGAAATAATTGATAATTCAATTGTAAACTAATAAATTATATTTATACCATTCAGTATATAAAGTCATTGACTTAACAATTTAGTTTCATATTTTTGTTTCTAATAATCTCAAGCTTTCAGTTATTCTATAATGTTGATTAGTATTTTTTTAGCAAGATAGCAATATATCAATTACTCGTATGTATAGTTTATTTAGTTTGTCACCGTGTTTCTAAGTGATTTTAGTTATTTATTTTTATGTGTTAAATCTCAACGGTTAAACGATAACCGAATCATGCATATAATGATCAGTTTTCAATAAACCTGTAAGTCAATATTTATTCTTAATACTTTAACATAATTAGAAACCGATAATCGATAAATCCAATCAAATAACTTCAAAATCGAGCTGAACTGACCGATACACATCAATACTCGAATTAAAGTGATATATCCAACGTGAAATTTACCAAAACGTCAACACTTAAAAAAAAAAACACCATCCAGACACCATTAGGTCACCAACTCATTACTCAACTATCATTTCAGTTCAATACATACATACATATATATATATATATATTAAAAAAGAAAAAAAAAGGAAAACCAGAAATAGAGGCCATATTCATGAAAACTTGCAAAATCTGGGTTTTGGGCCTAATTTATGGGCCTAACTCAATTTATTGGACTGGTCTTGATGGATGGCAGCAAAGAAAAGCCCATCACAGAACCCTAAAACAAGGGTGAGCAGTTAAAACATAAATATATTTTATGAACGCATTTGAGTTCATTAATTGTGTTCATAATTATTCCTAATTATACTCCTATCCTACTAGTTAGTAGGAGTAATTGATTTTGTAACTTCCACTCTACGTTAATCCCAATATATTGACTCCATTCACTATTATCCATACATCATATATTGACTTTATTGTTTTATTCCATCTCGAAAGTTTTTCAAATTATACTAATAATCTCGATTTTTCAAAACTTGCCGACACGTTGCTAGTTCGTCCCGTACATAGCAAATGATAGATGAGTTATGAATATGATAAATGATACATAACTACAAATCAAATTTATACTAATTTACGTTTGAAATAATTGAAGTTATGTATCAACAATAACATTTGCATCTGATACATTATACACAAACAAAATTGTAATGTATCTAAAAAAGGTTGAGTGAATATTAAGAGAGAAGGAAAAATGACATTTTTGTAATTAATTCAAATGATAAAGATTTTTAAAAAATTATGTTATGTTAAATTGTGTAATTACTTATTTTTCCCTTAAAAATATATACATATTACTCTCAGTAATAATCTAATTTTTAGAAACATAAAATGGAAACTAGTAGATGCATTTGTTGAATTTAACTTCTTTAATGACAATCTAAAATATAATAGTATTTTTACACCGTCAAGTTATCAAAAAGATAATTACAGAAAATTATCCATAGTAAATGAAATCACTAAGTTGAAAAATAATTCATATATAACTTGCTACAGATTAAAATTCACTTATACTATAACATTCAATAAGTTGAAAAATAATTCATATATAACTTGCTACAAATTAAAATACACTAATAATATAAATTTTCATATGGAATATAACTATGTATATAAGTTAATTTTTGTTTACATTTTAGGAGACATGCGACTTTTATCATTAAACAAAAAAAGAAAATCTTTGTCAATTTAACGACGGATTATCAACAAGTTATCAAAAAGTAGTTTTAGCTATAACTACTATAACCAAAAAAACTTATTCGCATGTGTTTACATCAGACCAATGTAATTTTCATTATTACGTAATTTAAAGAAGTAAAATAAACTATAAATTTAAACACATGACATTCATATCTTAGCTTGATATAAACACGCGATATGAATAAATTTAGGTACTACCTATTTAGCGATAAATTTTGAGGATAAATCCTTTATTAAATGTTCTTTATTTTTAGTCAAATAAAACTATGAACCTCATTTTAGATAAACATGCATGCATGGATTAATATTGCTAAGTGTAAACACACACCCATCGAAATCACACGCATACATACTATAAGTAGTGTATGTAAATGAAATTTAGAATGAATAGTGCATTAATTAGTGTCCCACAATTAATCATGTAATTATCAAAAGCAATTAATAGGCACATTTTTTACACTAATTCATATTTAAAAGCCGTGCCCATTAATCAAAATCCATAATTTCTATACATTGTAACTCCCATAATCCCTCTTGCACGAACTCCAAATTAATTAATTACTCATTTAACTCACTTCCATTTCCCAATTTATATATATACACACCCCTCATTGGCCTTTACAATTAAATTTGAATATAAAACTCTCTACATAAAAAAATAAAAAAAAATCTTCTAAATATGGATGTGAAATCTCAAGTACTTGATGTTCTAAAGATGGAAAATCAGAATGATCACTTTGATTGGTTGTATTCTGAACAAGAATACCCTCCTTCCACCTTCGGGTAAGTAATCATAAACATAACGAGTTAACTATTATGTTTGCGATTTTTTGTTATAACTTTTTTGTATTTAGTACATTTTTTTTGCTAGGCTCGACTAATCTAGATATAAATTTTTAGTGATTTTCTTGATAAGAAGGTCATGGTAGGCGAATTTTTTAAAGCATAAATATGTATATATGTATGAAGCTATAGTTCTACTTGCATGTTCAACAAAATTCAGTATTGTTGATCGAATGTTATATTTGTATTTAAATTTATTCGAAACCTAGTAAACTATTTCTTTTTTAACAAAATTCAGTATTGTTGATCAAATGTTGTATTTGTATTTAAATTTATTCAAAACCTAGTAAACTCTTTCTTCTTTCATATGTAGTATGTCTTTCTTTTTTTCGCACTCCCTTCGAGAAGGGTGACGCTGCAAACAAGATTTTCTTTCTGTTTTCTTTTGTATATTTTATTAAATCTTGATTAAAAATTAATGTATTATTCTTTTTTTTTATTTTAATCAATAGAACATTGCAACAAGATTCAAGATTGTCCAATGGTGGCTTATTGAACTTTGAATTTGATCCATTTGAATTACCCAATGATCTCCAAAACAACAACTTGCCATATTTTGGGCTTGAAGAGTTTGAAGAAATATGCCAAGATTTGGGCTCATTTGACTTGAAATCACTACCATCTCAATTCCAAGAAGACAATAATACCCTCATTATTCATGATGCAAATGTCAATGTCATGCCTCAGAACGTGACACATGACACTTTAGGCGAATCTCAAGTTACTACTCCTGCTTTTTATGGTGACTCGATGGAGATTATTCAAAATCGAAATAATAATAGGAGGCATAAAAAGAGCGATACGTTGGAATTGGAAGAAATACAAAGGTATTTTCATGTACCAATAACAAAAGCAGCAAAAGAGTTGAGAGTTGGATTGACAGTTTTGAAGAAAAGATGTAGGGAACTTAATATAATGAGATGGCCTCATCGTAAACTCAAGAGCTTGCAAACTCTAATTCATAACGTTAAGGTACGTGCTTAATTTTGTCTACGTACGTTTTTTTCCTTAGTTAAGTATAAATATGATTAATTAGAACTATTTAAGAGTTAATTAGCGCTTGATCAATTCATACCACGGTTAGTTTATTTGTTGTGGACCATGTATACTTCTACCAATCAGAGGCGGAGCCTGTACTAGCAGTTTGGGGTTTCTAAATTTTCTTCAACTTCCATAGCAATGAGTTGTTAACTGTTTTATTAGGGGTTCACAAGTTGATAAATATATATTTACTTATTTTTTTAGTACAATACAAGGTCTACGGATAAGCTACGTGCTGGGTTCATTCGAACCCTATTAGTAGTACCCTAGATTCGTAGACATATAGAACAAACATATAAGTTATTATACTAATATATATATATATGTGTGTGTATCATATATTTGAGTATGCAATAATTTCCCATTATTACATTTTTGATTCGCTTATGGATGAATATACAAGCATATATTTCATTTGCTTGCTGGATTTGTTATAAATTATTGGAAAAAATAATAAATATACCCCCTTGAATTATCGTAAATGGTATGCAGATATCCTTGGTTATACTTTTGGAACATCAGTCCCTGCCATATAAAAGCTAGAGCATATATACCCTTTATACTAACAGACACACTTATCCCGATATTTATTAAATATTGGATCAATGGATAAGATTGTGACATGTGTCCTGAATTGAGAAATAGGTTTATATAAAACACTTTTTAGTCTTACGTTATAGTGAACAGAGAAACTAGGTAATATATAAATAACATTAAGGCTACTTGATGCAGGAAATGGGACTTACAAGTGAAGTGGAAATGCTGGAAGAGCATCAAAGGATGGTTGAAAGAGTGCCTGAAATGGAACTAACTGATAGAACTAAGAAGCTAAGACAAACTTGTTTCAAGGCTAATTACAAGAAAAGAAGGGCTTCCATGGCCATGACTGCTAATTTTTATTAAGTTCATTACCTTAACTTAATTTCCCATAGGGCTAGCTAGATTTCTTTAGTTTACCATAGGCTATATTTTCTTAATTACAATTAGTAGTAATGTAGGTATGATCAATTAGCCATGTGCATATGGCATTGATTATTTATCTTAACATTAATCTTTTCCCCTTTTTGGTTTTGATCTTAATACAAAAAGTATTGCTAAGAATTTCCTAATTACTAGTCTCCATTACTAATTTTTTGTTTTAAATTTATATAACATAGTTTTCTTAAGTTACTATTGTTGTGATTGTCATGTTTTTTTTTCTTCTATTTTACTATCGTTACTTCTTTTATTGGGTGGGATTATATGTTCTTGCTAAGCGAGTACGTATCATAAACAATATTTACCCCCTCTAAGGTAAGGTGGACCATATTCTATCCTCCCAAAATTTCATTTTTTGAAACTACATCTAGAGTATTATTGTTTGATTCTGCAAAATGTATAAGAAAATAATATTACTTTTGAAACTTGCGTTTTTAAACAGGTTATTCCCTTCATCTTTTGAAACTTAGAGTTTTTAAAATTGTATCTTCGAGTATCTTTTGAAAAGATGAGTTTTTATTCCACGTTAATAGTTGTTTCAAAATATACTATACCCTTTTGCAAAAAAATATTTATTTTATGCTTGTTAATTTATAAGATCGGAATAAAAATTAAAGTCTTTTCATCATTCCTTTCAATTAATTATTTCTTATGGTGTAAATAAATATTTATAAATATTCAAGAAAAATTTCTTATTTATGATTTTCTCAAGAGTGTGAAAGAGAAAGTAACAACAAATCTGAAGAAATAGTTATTATATTTATATATCTATACAACATTATTAATACTTATAAGGTAACTTTTGAATATGAATTAGTCAATATTTTGTGTACAAATATAATAAAAAATGTATACTGCATTTGAAAATATTATCAAAGTTTATACCGTGCATGTATATATATATATGTTTAATTTCATTGCGCAAGTGTTCTGTAGAAATAGTAGATAAGTTCACATGGCGTATACAACCTATATTTACATAAATTAAGTTCCAAGTACATTGCACCTAAATACAGATTACTAATTCCATTAACTAATTATAATTAACCAAGTACATAATAATAAAGTCATTATAGATAATTGACTCAATTTATAATCAATCCATGTTTTAATTAAAAGTGAGAAATAATTATAGGATAAATTTTTTTCCTTATATTCATATAATATATATAGCTCATATAGCTCTTTTGTTTTTTGGTCGTCTCCATCTCCTTGGAACTACTTGCTTAAAGCCTTCGTAAATTCCTCCCTGTAAATTAATACACAATAATTAATACTATATAATTATTATAAACAGATTATAATTGACATCTATCATCTCGCACCCAGCAACAGATATTATGACATACGGAAAGAAGTCGTTTTTTTTTAATCTTTGGGATAGTAAGATGCAAAAGGTGCTTTATTCGTGATTACAAGAAGAATACTTTTTCTTTTTAAAGAAAAACTAATTAATTGACTCACGTACATAATTTAGGCCAAGATTAAGAAAGGGTATTATAGGAAACTTACCAAGTTACGAGAGAAATTGAAGAAGCTTCCTTTCCTTGTAAGCCTTACACTTGAATTAGTACTTCTATTAAGAGAACCGGAAAAGTCGAAATTACCCTTATCAACAACTCCTCTATTATTATTATTATTCTCCTTCATGTTTTCCCATCTCCATGATCCCATCATAATATTCTCTTTATTGTTACTACTCACAATCTCTTCATCAATCGACGAAAAACACCTCCCCACGCTATAAGGACCGTCCATCACGGTCGTTGGGGAGGGCGTATTAGTAATTTTACCACCTTCATTCAACAACAATGTTAACCTTGGTGGTAAGTCTAGGCACCTTGCTGTTTTGGACTTTGTAACTTTAGGTTTTCCTGGTGCTTCTTCCCATTGAAATGGAATTGTAAGTGTTGGATGAAGTGGTGGAGTTGAATATGTAGCTAATACATCATTGTTGGTGTTTCTAATTGGTTTGTTTGGAAGTTTAGATAAAGAAAGTTTTGGAGTAGAATATGAAGAAGAAAAATTAGTACTTGTAGTTTGATCATCATGACGAATATAATGAGAGGCCATATTGTAGAAAAATTTATGTCACAATTCCAAACACTTATATTTTGTATAAATTAAATGTGTAAGCATGAAAAAAATGAGGGGTTGTAAAAACGCTCCTCTTATGTGGCGCTTCTTATTCACGAGTAACGGATATATAAGCTTAATCCTAAGTATAAGGGTGTGGGGCTCATTTAATATTTACTATTTACTCGCTCAGTCTCAAATTATCTGTCATGATTTTCAAACACATGATACACAAGCATGTAATTTAAGTTGACAATTGCATCTACGCTCTTCTACTTTGAAGTTACACTTAAAAAAATAGGAGACATATGTTTATTTGTGCATATTCAAAGTTGATCAAATTAAAAGGTACTTTTGTTAGGATTGAATCCACACACACTTGATGAATAAAGAACACAAGAACTTTCGAGAGAGAGAGATGAGAGATCTAGAGAGAGAAAGAGAGAAATCAATATTTCGTGGTAACATCCCGTGAGTAAACTTCCACGGCGGTGGGTATATATATTAATAATTCAGAGTATTTTAGGTTACAGAGAATAAATGAAGAATAAATATTAATCAGGCTCCACAACCTAACAACTTTTTCTGTCCATTTTTATTTGTTATGTTGTGTTTTTCGAAAGTCAATTTGACTAAATTTTTAAAGTTAAATTAGATTATATAATTTGAGATTTTAAACAATAGAAAAATAGATATTCAAAAACTAAACAAATAGTACTATAAATTGCAACTTTTTACATATCAATATGATGAAAAAATATATTATCAAATGTTAGTCAAAATTTTTGTTGTTTAACTCTAAAAAATCAAACCACAAGAAATAAAAGTGGATGGATGAAATATATCTAAAAACAGTCTAAAATTATATTAAAAATTCAAGATAAAATTAATTATTTTTTTCACAAACTACTCTAATTAAAATTTTATCAAACAATATGTAAAAGAAAAATATAACAAATAACACAAAAAATAAGTATTTAAAGATGTGTGGGGTTTTAAGATGTTGAATTAGTCATAAGTAACACAAAGAATTGATAACGACTTTCAACGGTCACATAATGACTTACTCATCAGTCGCTAATGAAGATCAACCGTTCTGTTTATATTATATAATAGTTATTTATTTAAACAAGTATGTATATATATATATATATATATATGTTAATATACAATACAATTATTTAAGAGGGTTATTGAAAAGGTCATGAAGGTAAGGTTTTGTATAACGGTGAAAAAGAAACATCCAAATGGCATTCAATTTTTAGACGGCAATGTTAAGATATCAATTAGATAAATATATAATTTAGATAAATACGATGAAATCGTTTGATAATCGATTTGAAAATTAAGTTATATAAGTATAGAAATTCTATATAAATAATATTATGTTTGTAGCTAGTTAATGGGTAAATTATTCATGTATAAAATTAATATGATGATTGATTAGCAATTTAGAAATCGCATGATTAATACTTCCTCTGTTCAACAATACTTGTTTAAGGTTGACTTGTCACATTTCTAGAGAAACTATAAATAGAAGGGTTATTTTACTATATCACTCTTTGAATATACGCTACAACAAAAATACATTTTAACGGTAATAAATATACATATTAACAGAGTGTTCAATTCTTTACAGGTATTAGGTAATTGTCATTGAACGCAATGTCGCTAGCGACTAGGGACATATGTAAAGAGTGCTAATTGTCGCTAAAAATACATATTTAGTGACAATTAAACTATTGTTGTTAATTAATTGTCACTAAAGATTATTTTGATATAGTAATACAAAAAAAAGGATAAATTACCCTCGAGCTATCTGAAATAGTTCATATATTGCCTTTACTTATTTTTGCAATTAAAACTGCACTTGTATTTTATGTTTTGAACAACAAATACCCTTAAAACATTATTTTACCATTAGAATTGACATGACAGTCCACCTAAGCAGTTGAACAATAATGTTTGTTCTTCCTAGTTTGCAGAAAAGCAAAACCACATACACTTGTGTTGCTCAATGGAGATATCCATGAATTAAATTCTATCAATTTTATCGATAACTATTTGTAGTCGTAATTGCAGAGAGCTAATTTTATTATTAATTTAAATTTAATTAAATTTCAATATAAATATCAAACATCGAGATCAGATAAAAAAAAAGATGTTTCAAAAAGAAGGGACAAAAGAAGATGGCTTAAGCCATAGAGGACATTCATTCCCACATGGGATGACCAAAAATATCTTAATTTCTTTTTCCACCCTTAATTAATACTTTAACCATCTACATTAACGAATGAATTCATCAATAATTAATTTGGTTTGGTCACATCTCAGTTCAAAATATCTGTACCATTCTAATTCAATCAGGCTAATACTAATACAACTTAATTAAGCTAGAAAAGCTTAATTAATTCGATTTGGTCTTCTAGAAAATCGAATATACAGAGGCTTAAACCATATGACAAAATTGATTTTCTCGATATTATGTATTCTCTTTTATATTTCGATTAATAAGTTTTTTTTACAAGATGTTGGACATGACTCATGGAATAATTAAATGTGTGTTACAGCTCTTAGGTCCATGTTCATTTATTATAGTCGACCCCAAGAAGAAAATATTGGTCACAACAGCCCTACCTAGATGCAGACTATAGTAAGCCCATTAAGTCTCCAAATTATTTGGTTATAAGTGATATAAATTTCACTTTATATTTATGATTTTTAAGTCAAAAATTATTATTATTTAATATATATCCGGTGCAAATAAGTATTTTTCATGACCAAACCTTTTACTATTGATTTCCTATGCACATTTCTGGATAATTCGTGAGAATTCTATACTTCTGCCG